ATTATGTACATTTCCAGACGGATGGAAAGTTGGTAAACTTATTCTTCTTTCGAAAAGGGAAAATAAATATAGACCAATTTGTCTTTTAAAAACTTATGCAAAGATTTTAGATAAATTAATTACTCGACGTCTGGAATTCATTCTACATAAAAAAGAATATATTTGTGAAAATCAATATGGATTTCAAAAAAGTAAATGGTACTTTTCCGTTTTGCCGGCGCAAGCGATAAAGTCGCCAATAATGGTACAACCGATGCCAAACGGAATATTCTCGCTGGTAACCTTTTACGCCTCATTTTCAAAACAAGTCGCAGCATTTTCTTATCAGATTGATTGTTTCTTTCAATACTGGCATATAATTACATAGAATTTTTATCAGATAGTTCAGTTTTATGTCTACGGCCATTTTCGGTAATTAAGTCAATTAGGATGCAATCACAGCGCTTATCCGAAGCCGAAAATATAGAAAAGGTAAAGTCAAGGGTTAAATTCATCAATTCTAATGAGAATGCATTAGCGAAGTAAAGCACTGCAGTTTTACAAAATTTCTGAGTAAGCTATTCGTACGAATTAAAATATTTATTGCATTTAAACTTGTGTTCCAAATTAAGATTTAACTTGAAATTAATGTAGATAATTACTGAGAGCATTAGATTTTTGTAGAATAGTTTGCGTGAGATGAGATAGCTTGGGGTCACGTGATATGAAACCGGCGAATCAGGATGTTGAACCATGAAAGCATAGTAAATTCTTAAATTAGTGTCTTTTTATAATTTATTATTGTCTTTTTATTGGCTTTTTATAAATTTTAAGCGATATTAAAATGTTTTGCTTCAAAATAAAAAATTCTTAGAACTAAAACTTTTTAAATATTTTTTATGTGTATATACTGTATGTTGTCGCCAAGAAAGTCTGCTTGGCGAGATCTGCGCCGGCGAAACGGAAAAGTACCAAGTAAATCTACAAATTTGGCTTTATATAAAGTAATTGAAGAAATTAATCGGATTCGTAAAGAAAAACATACAGTCCTTGTTTCTTTTGGCGTGAAAGGAGCTTTTGATTCTATTGACTGGTCGTCTTTGTTAAATATTCTTAAGAGTCTTGATATTACAGATACTTTATTTGAAATAATAAAAAATTATTTAAGTAATCGTAAATTTGTATTTCAGAATAAGGCCAATACTGAGAGTTTAATCTATAGCGCCTCCAAGGGATGTCCCCAAGGTTCATGTAGTGCTCCTCTGTTCTGGAGTCTCATTGCAAATCAGTTGCTTATTAAAGAAATTTCAAACGTGGAAATAATTTGTTATGCCGATGATATAATGGCAATTGTTTATGGAGACTCTTTGGAGAAGATAGAACATACTTTTATGGAATTAGAAAAAGGATTAAAAGAATGGAGTCTTTCACAGAATATTGAATTCAATTCAGAAAAAAACTAAAGCGCTATTTTTTCCTCGAGGTGGTAAATATACGAGAACTCCACAAATAAAATTTGAGAATAGATGTATTAAATTTGAGGAAAATATTGAATATTTAGGAGTTCGTATTGATAGTAAATTAACTTTTATTGAACATTTTAAAGGAATACAGCGAGAAGTTGAAAGACTCTTAAATTTCTATCGCAAAACTTTTAATTCGGAAACATTGACTATAAAACATAAAACTCTGATGGATATTTATAAGAATGTTGTTCTTCCAAAGATTCTTTATGATATAGGTGCATGAGGCGCCAGGGCAGGGGAGCTGGTTCGAACTCGACAGAAATTATATTCCTCGCAGAGAGCCTGGTTACTTACAATTACAAGAGCTTTTAGAACTGTCTCGGCGGAGGTTGTATGTATTTTAGCAGGTGTTCCACCTCTCCCAATTTAATAATTTCTCTATGAATATAATATAAAATTCTACTTCAATATGAGATTAAAGATATTATTAAATATAAAGATTATGAAATAAAAGGTGATGCATTTGATATGCTTAACCCAAATGATATACATCCAAGTTTTTATAATGTGGTGACCTATGATCAAAGAATGGTAAGAAATGGGGAAATTGATATCTATACTAATGGATCTGGAATAGAAGGGAGAGTCGGCAGTGCCTTTGTTGTTTATTTTCATGAAATTTGAATTGAATCCTATAAAGGAATTAAGAAATTATTCAGTGTACCCCGTTTTTATTTTTGTTTTTGCTTAAGAATGCCTTTAATTTGGTTTATTAAAGAAATATAACTTTCAAATATTCCAGTCCAAATAATAACTGAGCCTGTCGGAATTTTTTCCCTCAATTATGGGTTAAGGCTCATTCAGGCACATTGGCAACGAGAGATTGTAACGCAGTTGTGGAATGAAGAAAATTACTTACATTTACAAAACTTACATTTTAAATAACCCAATCATCTGGCCGGGGAGATTTGCCGAATTTCCCAAAATTACTGACCGCCCATGGAGATGCCTTTAATGATTTCCCCAGGAAGATTAAGTGTGCAAAGAAGTACATTACACTATGACACTGAATCATAATATATCAACAGATTCCCCGGGCAATAACCGCGTTTCAACATTATGTGGCACCTTCCACGGTACGCCGCACTCACTGCCAAGCACCCCCGAATATCAAATGATGGGAGCCCCTCCACTTCCACAACAATTGAAAAAACCCATGTTTGCCTCAGCTTATAGACTCTTCCATACAGCACCCCCATAAGATGATGAAATCTCAAGTCCCAAGCCCTTTCCTGGATTCAGTATTCCCACCTTCCGCATAAATTTTGGCAGAATCCTACGCGATGTACAACTTGAAGACTGGCCGCAGTTGCATTTTTTTTCCTCCTTTTCCACTTGACCCCCGTCATCTAGCTTTTCCTTCTTCGGCACAACTGATAGACATTGGCCACATTCCACCCTCATATAAAGGCCAAATTTGGTCATCCCTCGAACCAAGGAAGCTCTTTGACTGAAAAACAAACAGTCTTCCCGCGGACTCCCTCCAGTCTCAAAGCCCTTTAAACCGCGGTATTTATGAACTTTCCATAGAAAAATAACCCACGAACGGCCTGCTTGACGGTGTTCAAGCTCAAGATGTCCACGATTTTTCTCCACCTTAATCAGTTTTAACCTACCTTCCTTCTCAACTTTTTGTCTTTCTTTACATTTTTAACTTTTCAATGTACAAACATACAGCGCCACTTTCGCAGAAGTCTGCCTTAATGGCTTGGAATGATATTTTGTGCTCTCATTTTGAAATTCTTTTGGGGATCTTTTCCAGCTGTTTCGTTGGCCCCCGCCTTGCTTGCCAACTGTCCAGAAGCTTCAAACGAATGTGAAAACATAATACTTTTCCTTTGTCGCAAGGCTTTACGTGATGCGCCTAACTTGGTCAGGAAGACTACTTAAACTTTTTTTTATTGTTATTTCTCTAGAACTTCCCGCAGGCCTCTGAGAAACACAGTCGCATAGCTCCTTTTGTGTACCGGCTTATTTTTGACCAGGGTCAATTATTAACCGACCACTCCTTTTTCTTTTTACAAGTTGCCAGGACTTGCGCTGGGAGTTTTTTCCACTATGACCACTTTTTGAATTTGCCATCCTGAAGCAGGAAATCACCCCCTCCAATCTTTAACTTAGTCGATGCCTTATATCTAATTCTGATTTTGTAGTAATTTTTGTTAAGTGTTTTGATTAATTTGTGTGCTTATTAATTAACCAATTTCAGAATTTTATTGTGAAGTTTTAAACTAAGTGTCATATTGTTTTCCTGGATATGCCAAATTTTTACAATTTATTTTATTTATTTTATTTTTAGGTTTTTTTTTTTCCTGTATTTGCATTTTATTTTGTAACTGGTACTGTTTGTTTTGTTTTTTTTTAGTTACTTTTTGTGAATTGTAGCCTTTGCAACATAATATTTAATCGATTGCCTTCTAGGGTTGTTCAACCTAAAAGCTCTTCCAGGCGGGGATTTTTTACCTTGTTAGCATTCCCCGTTCCGTTTCACCAACATTGTAGAATGGCATTGTGTCCGATTTAGTGGACTGAGAAGGGACATCGTGCCTAAATGTTGTTTAGAATGGAGATTTTTTGTGAGGTGTTTTATGGGTTTTTTAACTTTGCTTCCCTTTAAATTTTTAGTTTTTTCGTTGTGTGTTTTGGCCGGTTTTGTAATTTGCCAAACTTTTTTGTGGTTGGGCCGGTTTATTAAGTCTTTTTTTTTTTGTTAACCAACACGTCCGTTGTCAATTGGAATTCTTTTGTTTTAATCCGAAATTTTTTAAATAGTAGTTTTGGCATACAACCAATCATAGAATTTGATGCACAACTATTAATTTGATAAAACGAACAATGTATACACAGTGTAAAAATATCAGGTTGACTAAACTGCAGGGTAGGCATTTTGTTGGACAGTATATGGATGTGGATGAGCCATATTGGTTTGCCAAACGATAGTATATCACATTTGATTTGCACGTTATTACCTCAACACCACAAAAGATGTAATAGAAATGGAATTATGGGGTACAAAAATCGACAATCGTGATCAAGATTTACTACTAATTCCTAATAAAGTCGAAAATTACATTAAATTTCCTGTAGTTAAGATTGAATTAGTGTGGTGATTATCATCGAAAATTTTTTTTTTTTTTATTTATTATATGTGTTTCTCAAATAGATATGGAGAATTACTATTTTGACTTAAAATTCTTATGACTTTTTTACAACATTTGTATGTCCATTTAAAGGCGTACCAAAACACATAAATGAAAAAAAAGACTAATTTGTTAGACCCCATTTTTTTCTTTTCTAGACAGTTTCGTCTAGGTGAGAGATACCATATATCCATTTGATATGAAAAACCTAAAACACTTGATTTGAAATTGCCTCAGTCAAGAATTGCAACAAGCAGAGACTTACATAATAGTTCTTTAAAATTGCACAACTCAAATGTGAAATAATGATTATCTAAAAGAACTGTCTGAAATATAAATGTTTATGCTAAGGTGATCATTTCCTGGGAAAATAGCACTCAAGTACCGCATGCAGGAGATCAGAAGAAAATGTAAATATAATGAAACATCAATTAATTCTGGTAAGTAATTTAATAACAATTTTTTAGACATTTTAAGCTTGGAAAATGTTTTAATTGCGATAAATTGTAAGAAAACAGGCATTTTAATCTGTTTATTACTGTCCTAATGCGTGGATATTTATGCCTAAATGTTTTATTGTTAAAAACCCTTAATTTTTATATTTCAAAGTTTTTTCTAAAAACACTTTTATTACAAAAAATTATAAAACTACCTTTATGAAACTGTGACCAGTTTTAGAAGCAAAGAATTAAGAAAAGCCTAATTTTATTAGAAAAGAATAAATATAACATTAAATTTAAAACTTTTATTGAAACTTTCCGTACAGATTTCAAATATTTTTTTGAAAAAAAATGTGTAACCGCATTACATCTAAATTATTGATTTATCGCGCCCTCAAAAAAGTGTCTTTAATCCTCTTTTAAATATAAATAGTCCATATTTTGATCTTATGGTTTTCCAAATGTTTTTTAAAAATTAACTTTGAATCATCAAGCAATAAACTTGACGATTTGGTATTGTATTTTTAATAAGTTTAGGCAACTTAACTTTTAGGCAAACGATCAAGAATCATCAGTTTGCAATTAGATCCCAACACCAATAAATCCCCGTTGCAAAATGGTGGTATTAAGAAAGCGAGACGCGGGGAAGTAAATTATGCTCCAGACTTTCCTGATGGCGAAAATGAATCCACTCTGCAACACCATCAGAAGCAAATGAACAGAGAATGGAGGAAAAAGGACTTCAACATGATATTTATAAATCAAAAAATGGAAGTTACTTTTTCTTTCAGAACACGACAGATAATATCCAGGATTAAAATGAATGAGATAAAAGAACAGTGGCCTGCATTATTTACAACAGATCAAGTAAGTTCTTAAAATATTATTTTAAATACGCTTAGATTCATACGTACTGAGAAATTGTTTTTTGAATGCTAATATATAACTAAATTTTACACCTATGAAATGAGACTGACTGTAGAAAAAAATTGTTTTTTGAAGCTAATTAAATATTCTGTGAGTAGCTCGTGAAAAAGGTGATTGTTTACTTATTTTACTCAATAAAGAAATTTATTGCTTAATTCGCTATTCTTATATATGTTCTAGCAGTTAATTACTATACTTAACATGTTTTTATTCACTTATTTGAAAAATAAATAAAGTCTATTTGAAACTAAGCAAAAAGCTTCGAGGCACTTGTTCGTTTCTCGAATTCGCATAAAAATTTTATTCATATTATTTACGTGTTTTTAATTTTTTTCATTAATTTTTTAGTTATTTAAAAAGATATTGCCATGTAATGCGTATTTTGAAGTATTTGTTAATTGAACATTGTTAAAAATGTATGATATGTTTCATAGCTTGCTATAAAATACAATAATTTATTGTTATAACATAGAGTTAGGGAGTTATTAAGTCTGTTTTATAAATGATTAAACTATTTATAAAAAAAGCTTTATAAGCTTTTATAATAAGCAGTTTCTAGGGATACTGGGGAAAATAAACCAGGAAAGTTAAAGACAAGGCACAAAAACTGTACAACAGTCAAGTACCTGATTTACATAAAACTTTTCCGAATCATTAAATTACGTTAAAAATATATGTCCCTATATTGTATAAATTGTATATATATATATGTCCCTTCTGTTGTAGTTGCTGTTACTTATGCTCACTTGTCTGACGTAGTCAGCCCAAGCTCACGAAATTCCTCGTGGCAAGGAGCTCTAGACTACACCTGCCGTTGGCAAAATCCTTGAGCACCATTCAGGTGACAGTGCCGTTTAGCTCAGTTCCGCCCCCAATTTTGATGGAGAGCATCTGGTGGGACAGGGATTCCCACCCCTCTCCCCTTCCACCAAACCACACGAAAGGTCTTTTGGCTCGCCGCATATTTAGAGGGCCGCCATGCCGCACCGACACTATACATTTACAAACATCCATGCTTTCTCCGGGATCAGAAAGCGGGCCCTTCGGCAAGGCAGTCAACGATGCTAACCACTATACCGGTTGGGCGGCGGTGGCCGCTAGAGAGAGGGGCGATCGCTGGTTGTGCTTTTAACTTTGGGCGGCAGTGGGTGGCGTACCCGGCCAGTGATAGCACTGGTTGAAAAGGACCAAGTTGATTGAAAGCGAACTATTAGAGAACTTTGGTGAACTTTATTGAATATTGTGTCCTATCGCCCACGAGGCAATATTTGGTGCTGCCCATTTACGGGTACGCTCTGTAAATATTCTTTTATACTTGTGCTGCTTATAAATTGTTTTTAAATTGAATTTTATTTGTATATATATTTGTGTAATTATCTTAAGGTGATTTTAATCTTTTATTGATTTGCTGTTTTAATGAACTAATATTTTATGTGTGCTTGAATAATTTTTAAGTCCCTTATGCCGACAATGTCGCAAAACAAAATGAATAGCGAGGATACTTTAGAGACTATCGATATAGAGAATAAGAATGATATAGTGAATGTGATAAGACAAATGAATAAGATAGTCGATAGTTTGAAAGAGAAACGGGTTGCAAAAGCACTTGTAGAATCACTCAGCAATGGTCTTCTCTTTGTTACTGAATGGGTGTCAAATAGATGTCTTGAGAGTCTGAGTGATAAAAAGTACGGTGACTTGGAAGATAAGATAAACGTCATCATTGAAGAGATATCTGGTATCAAAGAAAGAATAAGTGAAAATAATGATCAGAAGAGAATGGCAAGAGGTTAAGAGTAAAAAAGGGTGAGAATGGAGAGAGAGGAGAATAAAAGAGAAAATGAGATCATTTTGAAACCCATCAAAGAAGGAATCGATGTGTACGATGAAATTAAGGGCAATATTAATCCCACGAAAACTGGAGTAAAGGTGCTGAAGTCATATTGCAGAAGAAATGGAAGCATGGTGGTTCAATTGGAAAATAAAGAAGAGTGCAAAAAACTAGAAAGAGAAGTTAAATCGAATAAAAATTTGAATCAGATTGTCACTTCAAGAAGACGGAAGTTCATCAAACCAAGGTTGATTATGTACAATGTTTCGGATGATGTTGATGAAGAAAAAATTATACAAAATATGAAAAGAGATTGTGAATGTGACGGTGAATGTGTTAAATCATTATTTAAAATTGGTACCACAGAGAAAGGTGTGTCACATAGGGTCTATTTAGTCACTGGCGATTGTCAAAAGTCACTCATAGAAGATCAAAGGATACTAATAGAGTGGAAATCATATCCAATAAGACTGTTCATAAGACCAAAAAGATGTTTGAATTGTCTGGCCTTTGGCCATACCAAAAATGAATGTGGAAATTCTATAGTATGCAGCAGATGCTCAAACTCGCATGAAAGGAGAAATTGTAAAAAAGAAGAAGAATTGTGTTGTATAAACTGTAGTGAGTTTAATAAAACATATAATGCGGATTATGATGTTTACCACGATGCATTTTCCAAAGAGTGTCCTGTTTATGTGCAAGAGATGAATTTCATAAGAGAACATTTAGATATCTAGATTCTCATGTATTTTGTCGGCTGAGACTTTTATTGAAATATTTATTGTTATTTTGTGTGTGTTTGAAATTTTATTTTATGTATTTTATGATTCAAAGATGTGTACTGGAAATTATATCCCTCACCTCGAGTAAGTAAAATTCTTTTATATTTATTGTATTTTAAATTGAATTAGTTTTGAAAATTTTAACCTATTTGAGATTTTAATATTGTAAATAGTTTATTGTTTTGTATTGTCTGGATTTTAATTGTATATTTATAGATTTTATAGATTTACTGTTTTATTTTATTCTGATTATAATGGAAACATTTGGATTGAATATTTTTTGAATTGTAACTTAAATCATTGCAATGCTGCCGCTTGCCAACTCTCTGCCATTAATAAGATCGTGAATGAGCCAATACACATAATAACGCTACAGGAGCCCTATTATATACGAGATAAGATTGCATATGTTTGTGGAGATTGGAGGGCTGTAAATTAAACGAATGGAAGAGCTGCAATTATTCTGACAGATAAAGATATCGATTTTGTTGTAGATTTCACTTATGAATGTATTGTGGCAATCACAGCTTATATAAGAGGCCAAAAATTAGCAATAATATCGGTTTGCTTCTCCCCAGCGGAGAATTTGGAGGATTATTTAATTAAGCTGGAGAATGTTTTTAAAGCATACAACTATAATTTTATCATTTTAGGAGATTTTAATGCCAAAAATTTTAATTGGGGTGCCAACGAGATGGACGCCCGAGGTCTATTGACCTATGATTTTATTGTTTACAACTACTTAAAGATTTTAAATTTTAAAAATTTTACTCCGACTTTTTTATCTGCAAAGGGAACAGGATGGACCGATTTGGCACTATGTTCCTCGAACTTGGATTTTAACAAGATTGATTATTTGGTTTTGGATAATGATACCTTGAGTGATCATAGGTATATTTTAGTAAATCTTAATGAGATTGAAATAGAGAGAAATGAGTCTATAAGATACTCAAAAGATAAGAATAGAATTGATCTTATGTTTAGACGATGTAAAAGAGACCTTGAAGACTTGGAAGCAAAAGTATGTCAGGCTAATAATGCCAAAGAATTGGATGGATTAGTGCAATATTTGGAAAACTATATTATTGATAAGATGAATCGTTACCTTAGAATTAAAAGAAAGAAGAAAAAAGATGATAACAAGACAGATTGGTGGAACAATGATTTAAATACATTGAAAAGGAAAATAAGAGCTTTGAGGAAAAGCTACCAAGTCAGAGGTATCTCTGATGAAATAAGGACTCAAAGAAAGATAGAATATAAGAAAATTAAGGCTATTTATAGGAAAAGTATTAGAAATACTAAAAGAGCCTATAGAGATGAATTGTTCTTGAGGAACAAATTTTATTACGATAAATTTTATAAGATTGCCACGGATAAAAGGAGGAAAAAATTGATTCTAAAAAGAGAGAAGTAAGAAAGGTTGGACGATCTAGAAGAAAAATGTGATAATATTATAAAACAGATATTAAGAATAGAAGAGTTGGAGGAGAGAGATTTGAATAACATGATTATTGATGAAAATAAGGAAGATAAAGAAAGGTGCTTTACGGTCGAGGAAATCCATATGGCAGCAAATGATCTAAGGAATAATTCGGCCCCCGGTCCGGATAAGATCAGTGTTTTTGTAACTAAGAATTTTTTTGATTATTATACTTCGTTTTTTGTTATTCTATATAATAAATGCCTGTGCTTGAGTGTATTTCCTGAGACCTGGAAAATTGGGGCGCTGGTTTTAATTCCAAAAGAAGAAGGAAAATTTAGACCTATCTGCTTATTGAAGACTTTTGCGAAAATTTTGGACAAAATGATGACAAGAAGACTGAATTATATAATAACTCACGATAATTATTTAAGCAAAAGACAGTATGGATTTTGAAAGAACAAATCTACGGATCTGGCACTTCATGAAGTTATTAAAAGTATTAGAATGTATAAGGCTAATTATCATGTGGCTATGATATCTTTTGATATCAAAGGAGCTTGTTATGAATAAGTTCACAAAAAAAGGTAAGCGGACTGTAATTATCACTTGTTTATTTTACATAACACTTTGAAATAGAAGGAATGCCGTCCACGTGACGAGACAGCTCACATCACTCCAAGCACTGTAGCAATTAATAAAACAAAAAAGAATAGAATACAAATCACATAAATTATGAGTTGAAAGTTCGTTACCATAGCAACCAGAATTGAATCATCAGGCGGCAACGCCATCTTATATTGCAAAGACACACTAGTAAATCGTTTGGTAACAAAAAATACTAAACATAGCCCCCGGCCTTGAAGCCTTCTAAGGGTTCAAAAAAAAAAAGACAAATAGTTAA